AAAATCACATAAGATTGGCAAATGTGAACAATATTATTCATTCTAACTCAGCATTATGCAGACAGAACATAGTTTTGTTTTCCCAAAAGTTGCTGGCTTTGATATAAAATTTTGGGTTAGGAAAGTGAAGTATTATTGTGTGTGTCTAAAGACATATACAGTAAAAAAACATAATATGAAAGTAGAAAATTTTAGTAAAATTATTTGGCATAAGCTCAATGAACAGTAGTGCACGTTATAACATTCCAAAGGGAGATCAATTTGAAGTCTTCTTTTGATGTTTGTCATTAGATATGGAATATTTAGACACTGTCCGTTTTCTTTTTTACTGTTACTTCTTGTTTTTATTATTGAACGGCTATCGTGTATGGTATTCTTTGAAATGATCCTCTACATTATTAATAAAAAAGATTTTTATTGATTGAGAAAAAATGTAATATATAAATTCAGATATTTTTTGACATTTCAAAAAAAATTGTAATCATATACATAACATACTTTTTCACTATTTCTTTATAACTAAAGCTGTTTAAAACATTTTATAATAATTAAACTTTGTTACACGTGTGTTATACATAAATGATTTAATATGTAAATGGATAGATGCACATTCAAAACATATAAACATGCCTTTAGTGCACTGAATGAGATGTTGTAGAGCAATTGGCTTAAATGAATTTTACATGTCAAAATTATAAAAATATCGTTTAAAATTAAGAAAACTAAAATATCAAAAAATTGAGAAAAACAAAAGAACATTGGTTATCTTACTTTGAAAACTTCTAACCGTTTAATATATTCTATTCAATCTGATATGATATTTTAATTAACTTTAAGGAAAAAAATTGTTAATTAAAAAAGTAAATGTATTTCCCTTTCAAAAATTTAAAAGTTAATATATATTTTAATAATTAGTTTATCAGCATTTCAATTTAAAAATTTTTCTGAATGAAGTTTAATTTTTGTGTAAAGTATTAATAAAAAATCAATGGAATAATAATGAAAGTGTAATTGATTGCCTTGGGTAGGGATAATAACTTGGTGCAAATGAGGTTTTAAAAGTATTCAAGAAATTAATAAAATTGATTTTAAGGTGAGTTTTTAAATAAACGTTATCTTTAAGACTTATTTCACCCCACTACTTAACATGCAAAGGGGAATAACGCGAATAGCGAAACAATAAAGCCAATGTCTAACTTTGCATTGCACTTTACGAGAGTAGATAGCTAAATACACCCGAGAGTTTGAAAAGTTGTTTGATTTTAAAACCTACTTTCTGTAACAAATAGGTTATAAGGAATTTGAAAGCTTTTGTAGTTAATGGGAACTTTAAGTGTTTATGTTTTAAAACACAACACTTATCTTGTTTCTTGATATTTCTACTCTTGTTTTTTGTATTTTTTTTAATGTGTCAAAATAGTTGGTAACAAGCTTTTTATATAGGCTTGTAAACGTCTTTTTTTCAAGAATACAACTCTTTCATTAAGGCACCATTCTAAAAGGTATATTTTCATTTCGTCAAACATATCTTTTAGATATAGTTATTGTTTCAATAATCATCTTTATGAAAAGATAATTATTCATTCTATAGATTATAATTTTTGAGTTATAATTTAAAATAATAACTTTTCATATCTAACTTTTTGAGTGTTGGTGTCTTTTCAATATATCTCATAACTTGTGGATATCGGTTTTTAAAAAGACATAATCATTCACATGAAAACTTGTCTATAATCCAATAGACACATTATGTCACTTTATGTGACATAACTTTTGAGCTAAAATAATTTTTCATCATGTGATATAACCTTTAATTTTAAAAATATACTAATAATAACCTCTTAATTTTTAGCAAACAAGGTGTTACATACCTATAGCATTCATAAACATGAGATAGGAAAATACAAATAAAAAAATTATATAAAGAATATAATAAAAATAATTTATATCTCGATAGATTATGATTTATATACATATTAGATACTTAATTGTAATGTATCGTAAATTATTATATTAAAAATAACAGTTTAAATTTCCTTAACCACCATTTTGTCGTTTTATTCTATTTTAATTGCTTTTTTCAATATTTTTATATGAGTTGCTTAATTGTATTTATAAGAATGGTATCGATGACATTATTATTACACCATTATTCTTAATTAAACATTTAAATGGAGTAAGGTACCGTGAATTTCTTGTGATTGTATAATATATCAAAAATATCTTGTGGAGGCGTTTTATAAAAAATTTAAAAACATCATTAGTTTATTTTAACAAGGAATTGAACACTGAAAAGGAAAGGGGTAGATAACAATTACTAATTCTCTTTTTTTTCTAAGCTTTTAATATAGCCAAACTTGCATTTTATTAAAAACAATTTACTTTAATAAGGACTTCAAATGTTTATAAGAAAATTGATAGATAAAAATTAGCTAATATAATTTAATAAAAAAATTATCAATTAGGAAGCGTTTACTTTATTCAGGGTTTCGATGTTAATAAAAAAATGAGTTAATATTTAAGTTAGTAAAAAATTATCAACTAAAGAAAGTTTACTTTAATAAGAATTTTAATTGATGTGAATAAATAAATAAAAAAATAAATAATCATTATGAAAGGTATATATATTGTTAATGAATGACAAAATAATTAATTAATTTAATAATATATACAACAAAATATATCATTTACTATTTGCAGTTTATATATTATTATTATAATAACAATAATTCACCCGATGTTAATTAATTTCTTGTGAAAAGCTAAGGATCTCCACAATTCCCATCGATTGCAACAACAAGAATTATGTGGTCATGGTCACGCTCTTTCCTCTCTGCTAACCTCACATGTGTCCTTTATATTGGCCAAAGCTGTTTCCACCACGCGTTTATTAGCGGATGTGTGTGCCAAAAACTGGCAGTTTCTTTGTCTGTCTCAAGAAATCAGCTCTTGTAATATTCTAACTTAATCCATTTCCAGTGTTTCACGTCTGCTCAAGCACCGAATTCCATTGGTTCATTACTTCTTTGAGGCATGGAGCAGCATTTGGGGATTATGTAAATCACAGAAACATCAATAAATAAATGAAAGAAAAGTTCGAGACCACTAATATTTTATGCGAAACACGTTTGCCTACCTAATATACATTATTTAGGCACAATTAGTGGAAAATGGACATCGCAATCGATACCAAAATATATTTAGCGTAGCTGCCCTACTGCCTTGCATGACAATGAATCGAGGGAAGACAGCGTAGTAACGATACAAATTTAATTAATTAAATTATTTATGTACAACTCCAAAACGAAGGTATGAAGCTTTGAAAGGGTCAAGCGTAGATTAGAAATCCGTAGTGAATAAAAAAGGAAGACGAAGAGGAAATTTGATTGTGGTACGATGCTTGGGGATACAATCAAAACAACCTGTCAACGAAGTGGAAGTAAAAAACCAATTGTTTTTGTTGCAAAGATTTTGTCTCATCAGAACCAACTGACCGCCAGGGGGCTCTGGTTTTAAGTTTGGCTTATCGATGAATAGTTTCACACGGTCAAGACAGCTGTTCTGTCAGCAACGAAATTGTAGTACAGGATATACATATATCTATATATACATAT